TATATAAATATTGATCAATAACTACACACATAAATAAAATTGACGTGGACCATGTATATAAACAAGAATAAGCATATCAAAACAATGTTGATTATTAAGTTAAACGTGGGTTACGCGACATAAAATCTAAGGAGTATCGACGAAAGCGATTGATCTCATGAAACATTTTCAGGATTTCAAAATTTTTACTGATACATGACAGCGTAACAGTATGAGTGCAACGATAGAAATACATCGGTAAACTGGAACTCAAATCTCTTGTTCTTATCATCGTTATAGACGGAAACTGAAATCCGTTCGCAAAAAGAAAGATATTTTATCATGAGTTAATCCCGAAAGAATATGCCCTTATTTCCCTGATAAAAAATGAATTGATAAAAAAAGTAATTGGAACTGTACACATATTATTTCAGGACGGATTTACGCAAACATCTAATTTTCGTTCCCTAAAGTTGTCAATTTTCTTTCCCTGTCTATATCGGAATTGGTCCTTCGTTGTCTGATGAGCTTTCTTCTTCCCTTCTTCTGGCACATGTACATGCAACCTGTATTTGTATTTCGGTCGGGTTATATTGGAAAACGTCGTTATCGCATTCTCCTTGCATCAATACCACCTCAGTGACGTATACAGGTTCGCATACGTTCTCCAAGCTACGACCTCCCGCCTCCAGGCACTGCTGGCACCGACACCGGACGCTGGTCAGTGTGGCCGGAAACCGGTTGGGGTTGTGTTCGCTGACCATGTAATATGGACAAGTTGACCGGTGTCGGGTGGGCGTATGCATAGTGTTGTCCAGTTCGTTCAGGTTTTCTGGACACACATTGGTCTCGCCCTCCAATATCGTGGTGGTGACATTACTGCTCTGTCGGTCACTCTCTCGTGCGGTCAGCAATAGAGATTCAGGGGAGATAGAGTTCCTAGCAGAGCGTAGTTGGATGGCCAGGTTGACTCTAGCAGGTGTCCCACATGTGGAGGTTGTATGGACGCAGGCGGACACGACCATCTCTATCACCGCCAACATAGTGATAATTCGCAGGAGTGAATTCTAAACAAACAAAACATAATATTAATATTTCAAAACACTAACTGAGTGTAACTGTTCAGTAATAAACAAGAGGTCTCATGCGGTAACTGCTACGATATGTATTGAGGTGGGTGTTACTGTTGTTTTAAACATGTTGAAAATGTTCCTCGTGTCCTTCTTTCCATGGTATCTATACATCTATACATTTTGCGATTTATGTTTTAAATATTGTAAATTACAATATAGAAATTATGGTCTTTATTCAAATGTACAGATATTCTTAGTCAAAATTTTGAATATAAACTAAAGTAAAAAAAAGTACTGTAGTTCAGATCTCTCACGGTGCAAATTATACTGAGCATGCATCAAATAGATTTCGAATATAAACACTTGATTGTACAAATCGATTCAAATATAGATTAAGAATACAAATGACAGAATTTTGAATACGCATGACAACTTTTGAATATAAATGATCAGTTTTCGCGTAAAATCATATAATTTTTCAAATATGAATCACAAAGATTTCACAAGATTTCAAATATCAATAACATTATTTTTAAACAACCCACGCAGTTTATAGTATAAAAACATCTAGGACATCAAACGAAGGCTCAACCATAAGATTCAAGTTACAGGATTAACATGTGAATAAGAAAATGAACAAATATTGCAGCGTTTGACACGCCATATCTGTGTATAACCACAACAAAACATCTGACAATATCTGTGAATCTAAATAATTATATAATTAAAGATTGATTCCGTTTTTATTAACCATGGAATACAATATTGAGAAACAGGTATTGTTTCCAAAGTTTAAGGTCAAAAGCATATGAACTAAACGGTTTTTCTGTGTGATTTAGTGAGGTTAACATCATGCGGAAGAGTCGTTAAAATTTATATTTTTACTCTCCGAGTACTATTTGGGGGTTTCGTATTTTTACTCAAATAACGACTCGCCGGTTGGCTCCTAATACGCAAATAAACGAGTAAAGGTGACGCCGCTACCAAAAGTTTGATTACTTAAGTAATATATCTAACAATTGTAATCAGTCAATAAAAAACTGAAGGGAGTTTTCCTCGGTTGATTGTTTTTCTGCGGAGGTAATGTGTAACAAGCGAGTCAATGACACAATACTGAAATAAGGCACACAGACAACTGCATAAGGGTTTTTCTCATGAAAAAAATGAATAAATAAATATATAAAGAGCTTCGTCAATGACTATAATCATTGTAATAATGTCTGACGCCTTCGATAATTTATGCTTGCATCGGACTAACACTTGAATTGGAAAATATCCTTTTTAAACTGTGTAAACTGTATCTTGAATAAGATTCATTAGTTTGGAAATATGCAATGTCAAAGTTTTACAATAAACAAATTTACGGTTTGTATTAAATACATTAAATACGTACATGGTTGTCTATCAATAAAAACTAGTGTACAAGCTGTATTCTGAAGGATAACATTTTAGTTGACGATATTTGTTCCATTAAAATTTTCTTAAATGACCTGCTTTTAAAAGTACTTGTCCTTATAAAAGACACAGAGAGAATCGAAAAGATAGACAGAAAAGATTAACAGGCCAATGTCTGCTGTTTAAGTAAATGAAGTATAAAATGTACCTTAAAATACTTTTGCGTATTGCTTACTCACCATCGTTATCTGTCGTTAAAACTAAGATATCTATCTGTTTTAAAATCTGGAATGTTTCTTCAGTGATACAAAATCGAGTTTGATTTCTGTTCTCTAAGACGCATCTTTTATAGTACACATCTGTCAAGTTTACAGTGTTAAAAATAGCCAGAACGATTAAGTTAGGGGGTTTCTTTGTGTGACGTCGCCTTTTCCTACTTCCGTATTCCCCAATTGTCACCTTTACTGTGAACCCCGTATGTTCTTAAGGAAGGCAATAATGTCGATGAAAGCAGGAGCAGTGGGGAGGGACCGTGGGTTTGGTAATGTGGTAAATCATGTTATCTAATGCGGAAACTTACATTGGAAAATTGACTGTGGAGATGTGCATGGTGTTACAACATTAAATTACAGCCTGGTTGTAAACAATGACACAGTTAACTCTAACTATACACACATTAACAATATATGACTGCATTCGTTCTGGCCCGACAGAGTTGTCAGTAACGGCCATCATAGTTTTGTTTTAGTAATGTTAGTAATATATAATTTGATGGTATGTTGATGAAATCAAGACAATATGTCAGTCCCAAAAATGGAAAGGAATATTCCCCATATTATTTACATATAGATATTCTACGAATAATTGAAAATATCGATTTGAAGATTTAACTTAGCATATGAAAGAAATGATATATTGTGAAGAAAAAATCCAAAATCAGCCTTTGTATCCGCCACTAGTTCTAGGTCGCAATGTGATAATAGATTCAGTTTCAATAAAACTGTCTCTTTAAACCGTTTTATGATTGATGTGCAATGTTAAAAGTTTGATATAGTTTTACATGATTTCGTTTTATTGTATATCGACATCATATTGTCTAACATGCTGTATATGCCTGTTTTGCCTGTTTTGTTGAATTGAATTATTTGTTTTATATTCTTGACATTGTTAGAACTAAACTGCCATATTGTACATCGAAATATTTTTAAAATATTAAAATTCTTTTAAAATTCTTTATATATCTGTTGTGTCGGTGTATTCGAATGGTTTGGTTAAGTTATATTTATGTTTTACGATGTCGGCGTTAGTTATATTTAGGTTTGACCATGTCAGTGTTAGTTATATTTATATTTTACGAGGTCGGCGTTAGTTATATTCAGGTTTGACCATGTCAGTGTTAGTTATATTTATGTTTTACGATGCCGGCGTTAGTTATATTTAGGTTTGACCATGTCATTGTAAGTTATATTTATATTTTACCATGTCAGTGTCAGTTATACTTATGTTTTACCATGTCGGCGTTAGTTATATTTAGGTTTGACCAAGTCAGTGTTAGTTATATCTATATTTTACGATGTCGGCGTTAGTTATATTTAGGTTTGACCATGTCAGTGTTAGTTATATTTATGTTTTACGATGCCGGCGTTAGTTATATTTAGGTTTGACCATGTCATTGTAAGTTATATTTATATTTTACCATGTCAGTGTTAGTTACATTTAGGTTTGACCATGTCGGCGTTAGTTATATTTAGGTTTGACCATGTCATTGTAAGATCTATTTATGTTCTACCATGTCGGCGTTAGTTATATTTAGGTTTGACCATGTCGGTGTTAGTTAATTAAGAAATAATCAACATGTGTGCGTGCATTATGGTGGAATATATAACGCGGCCTTCGTTAATTATTTTTACCAACATTTTTGAATCCCGAGTTATATATTCCACCATAATGCACGCACATAAGTTGAATATTTTTATTCTACCACGTCAAATGTGACTAATTGGAACGTTTTGCTGTCTTATAAGGCGACATGACCTAGATAATTCGATATGCAAATTAGACGCTGTTCTTTTGCGCGTGCAAGATTTATCACGCTATCGTGTTGCCTCGTTTTAACTTGATCAATGTCGTGCCAACATTTCTCAGTGCGTAGGGTTTGGATTCCCGGATTGCGTTTACTTCTAAAACCATCATCATCGTACCGATAGCAAGCGGATTTTCTTGGAAGTGCCAGTGATACAATATCATACGATAGGCCTGACATGAGTTTGCAAATTTAGTTGGTTGCCATGACGTGATGGAAAGTCGCTGACCGGCTGATCATGATGCGACCTTCACCTTCACCGAATTCACCGGACACCGGATGCAACCACTGTTCAGACCGATGCTACTTTTTGCAACATTATTCTTCACACACGGTATGTACACTGTAGGCGAATACTCGACATCACTTTGATTTTTGAAAGCAGACGACTTTTTGCAGACCAGAAACAACTGAACACGTGTGACGTCAGAAACGATTTTTATTTCAATCAATCAAACATTGGCACGCTATCGACATCGTTCGTCAAAACATGAAATCAACGCTTGACAGTACATACACACACTGCATACATCGTGAAATGTACGGCACTACCCAGTGAAGTAAAAACAGAAGTAATTAATAATTTACCATTTTGTCTTCAGACCTGTACATTTTAAATGTCAATAATTAATAAACCAGTTTCACTGCACGGACCCACATACTTTAGGTCTATAGATCCGTGTAGTCTTTTGAATGGCAGGCCTGTCAAATATTTTGATCCCGCCTGACAGTTATGCTATTTTTGTTAATTCATGATAAAATACGGGGAGGTTGTTGGAGCAGCATGCGTGCGCACTATTTCACATGCATTGGTTATTGTCATTGGTTATTGGCACGCGCATGGTATATCGCTCAATAATGAACTCTTTTTAACCAATGAAAACCGTCGTTACATCACAGACGTGGTAGAATTTATGTTTCACTACCATGTCGGCGTTAGTTATTAGCTCACCTGGCTCGAGGGGCCAATTGAGCTTATGGCATAGTGCGACGTCCGTCGTCCGTTTGTCGTTCGGCGTCGACTTTTTACTTAAAACAACTTCTTCTGAATAACCAATAGGCCCAGGTTTTTTCAAATGAACGACCTTGACCTACTTTCAAGGTCACATTGTTTAAATGTCTTAAAATCTTCAAACAACTTCTTCTAAATAACCAAAAGGCCCAGGGTACTACTATTGGGCCTGTAGCATGCTTGGATGAAGGGCTACGAAGTTTGCTCAAATGAATGACATTGACCCACTTTCAAGGTCACAGGGGTCAAATAGGTTAAAATATTCAAACGAGTTCTAATCAATAACCAAAAAGCCAAGGGTACTGATATATGAGCCTGCAGCATGCTAGGATGAAGGGCTACCAAGTTTGTTCAAATGAATGACCTTGACCCACTTTCAAAGTCACGGGGGTCAAATGTGTTCAAATCTTCAAACGACTTCTTCTCAATAACCAAAAGGCCCAGGGTACTGATATTAGGCCTGTAGCGTGCTGGGTTAAAGGACTACCAAGTTTGTTCAAATGAATGACATTGACCCACTTTCAAGGTCACAGGGGTCAAATGTCTTAAAATCTTCAAACAACTTCTCAAAAACCAAAAGGTCTAGGATCATCATATTTGGCCAGTAACATGCTGGGATGAAGGCCTACCAAGTTTGTTCAAATGAATGACTTCGACAAATATTCAAGGTCACAGGGGTCAAATATGTTTAAAACTTTTAAACGACTTCTTCTTAATAAGCAAAAGACCAAGGGTGATGGTATTTGGCCATTTACATGCTGGGATGAATGACCTTAGCCCATATTCAAGGTCACAGTGGTCAATATATGTTTAAATCTTTAAATGACTTGTTCTGTATAACCAAAAGGTCCAGGGTACTGATATTTTCTCAGAAGCATGCTGGGTTGGAAGACCATAAACTCTGTTCAACCTAATATCCTTGTTCAACATTCAAGGTCATATGTTTAAATCTTTTAATAGGTTCTTATGAATCAAATACTGATATTATGCCTGTAGCTGTATTTTAGTCCACTTTAAGATTACAAGTGTGAGATTAATACCAGGTGAGCGATTCAGGCCTATTGGGCCCCTTGTTTAGGTTGTTACTTGCCTGTGATAGTTATATTTATGTTTAACCTTGCCAGTGTTATTTATATTTATGTTGTAACACGCAGTGTTAGTAATATTTATGGGGGTTTTTAACACACAAGAGTTAGTTATTCTTATGTTTTAGTATGCATGTGTTAATTTACCATACTAGGGCTTTTATCATTTTCTTATTTTTGATTCTGTCAGTGTTTTTTCTAGGGGTGTTCATTGATCTGACGTCTTAAAAAGGAATGACCAATCCTTGATATGTTAGGTGAATAGCAGGGTTGACATTCTGTGGTTGTCAAAGAAATTCATTTTTATCAAGAAAGAGCTAATCAAATAAGTGAATCTACTTTTAGAATCAACATGAGCTTTCCAGCCAGCATAGCGGAAGGAAGATATATGTTTTTGTTTTATTTAACATACAGTTACGAAGTCACTAACCAATAGCTATGTATATACCCGGACCTAAATAATAACATACTGGGTAACGTTAGGTAAAATAAAGCTTGGATGATCGATAATCTCGACATTCCTGTCTCTCTTGACAAATAGAGGAGCCTGTGTGATATATTCTCCACCTACTACATAGATCAGACCTTAGGATGTCGTTCACCTGTCATAATGGAGGGCAGCCGACTGACAAAGTCTATAAAGGTTCTATATATTTTCACAATAATTAAATTATTGCGAATGAAGCATACCTATTTAAAGGAACTTATCAATTGGGAATTGTCAGACCTAATTAAATTCCCTAAATGTATAACTATTGTAAATTAAGAAAAGAAGGCACTGCATCATCAATATACAAAATTCAAACAAATTCAAGCTCACCAAAGACACCGAAAAAAGTGTACAAAAAAATGATATTAGAAGGAAAGAGGGATTGAACCTGACGCATCGATGTCATAACGAGTCTCCCTAAAATATAAATATTTGAAATAAAAACATGCTTCGTGAAGTAAGACATTGTTCCTTATTTCAATCGTAAGTGTACATGTACCCGGAGTACAAACAATATACGAGATCCTAGTAGGATCTTGACACTTCAAACTAAGTTTACACATCATTTTGGCATTTTTATACAGGTTTAGGTGATTTTTTTGTCTTTTTTATTTAAAATATCAACCGGTAAAGTTATGACTAGGAGACTGTTCGGTGTGTGATAGTATGCTATGGTGATAGCCAGTTCAGTAAAAACATGTATTACATCATAATCATAAAACTTGAGCCTAACCGGAACTGGGGAGACAACAACATCCTAATGGTGACGGAAACCAGGTGTTCCGGAGAGGTATCCTGTACAACATATAGTTCCGGTCATCCCGTCAAATCCGGGATATGTGATCAACGTTGATACATTGTGCAAAATAGTTTCAGCAAATGTTATTACATTTGGTACGTACGGTGAAGAGGGCTTTTCGACCTTGATCCACTACATATGCTTAACAATTAGCTACTTAATCTAAACAGAGCGCCCGCATACAAAATAATCAACAACTGATACTTTGTTGCCTTAACATATCCAACTTTAAAACAACCACCATTTCAGATAACGACAATTTTAGTTGTTTTTTTCAGTATCTATACCGTTAATTATTTATTTATTTTAAAAAATCACGTTTTTTAAGAAGGCTTATGTAGAACAAAAATAGCGCAATACGTAATAAACTATAATAAGATGTTATTGATTTTGATCACAACAGCAAAACGCTGTGATTAAGATGACACAAGATACGGTAAGGATACTGGAGGTAGGTCATGGCACATGTAACTAAGAATTTGTTACATCTATATTTGTTTTTAGGGTTTAGATCGACTTTCGGTAAATTGTCATTTTTACCGAAAGTCGATCTAAACCCTTAAAACATGTAAAATTACTCTGAACACCAAAGTTACATGTAGGTCCAAATGTAGCTGTAACAAATTATCAGGTCCCTGTGGGTCATAGTCCGTCTTGTTTGAATTTTTACCCGCCTGACTCATTCGTCATATCGACTTACCATATACAACAGGAAGTTCAGTTGGCATTTTCTTATCATGTTGTGTTTATGATTGTTATTGTTTTGGATAATGTATACGTACTTTATATAACTGTATCGACTAGGTGTGTAATAACGGTTGTTATACCCTGTCTGGCGTCGCTCAGGTGGAATTTTTTAACACAGAAATCCGCGAGAACAGTACCGTCAAAATGGAGCATCAATTTGTGATTAGATCCTCTTCAAAAAACAACTTGCTATTTGTTTTGTCGTACGATTTTAGCGGGGCTAGGACAGAAAGGGCTGGTAAAGGTTTTGGAGAGGTGGATTTGGTAGCTGTTAAGTACCGCTCATATATAAAGTTTGTGTTGTACGAGTGTTGAGGGGAAATGTGTCAACACTATTGTGTGCTGAACCTACGTTTGTCGTACGGTACAAGTCTAGTCCGCTACGAGGCACTCTTATACTGAGTTATCTCGTATATTACAAACGGTAATTGTCGTATCGTCTCATGAAGTTCATAACAAACCGTTAACGAGGGGAAATGTTACTGAGCAAAACCTTTGTAATTATTAAGCGAATGATGATTAAAATGGATTTACATTTTTTATGATATTGATATTATCTTCAGTTTTAAGGTTGTAGTGTTAAGTGTTTTGGGGTTATTTTTTTAATGTGTAGTTTGAATCAATCTTTTATTTTGTAAGTTGAGGATACTTTGATTGACAAGACCCAGTGTTTTTAGACTGTAATCGTAATACCGTCTCGTTTATTGAGTGTGTTTGATCGACCAGGAAACACTTGTAATTCACCAGTCATAACAGATAACTGAGACATTTGTTGTAATATTACCGCAATCAATATGTGATATAATGTAATTCACACAAGCTGGTTTCTTCCGCATTGATTTATTTTGTTTCCAATTTTAGTATAATACATAACAAATTGTTTGTTACTGATGGTATTTCCATTAACAACATAAGTTACCAAGGTCTGTAGCAGTAACAATCTGCGTTATTGTTCGGACGCGTGTAATGACGCATTAATTAATAACTTACATGTTCTGTTAAATAAACCAATAGAATAATTATGAAAAATATTCAATAGTGTTGGGGTTTTTTTTTGGGGGGGGGGGGGGGGGGATAAACACATTTTAAAAGTACTTGTCCTTATAAAAAAAACCGCTCAAACAAACCTAACCTGAATTCAATGTGGGGTGGGGTTGCTAAGGACGGCCGCCATCTTGGATCCATCATCTTGTTGGTTGCTAAGGAAATCCGCCATCTTGAATTCAAAATTTCAATATTTTTGAATCCAAGATGGCGGATTTCCTTAGCAACCAACAAACTGGCGGATCCAAGATGGCGGCCGACCTTAGCAACCCCACTGAACCTACGGCCCACATCCACATCTCTTTATCATGTGTGTTTTGATTGAGATACTCACAGTATTAATGCCTTGTATATTAAACACTTACTCCTGTATTTAGGTATGCACAGCCGTAGGTCTTCACACGAGCACTGGATCCTGTGAGGGTAAAAAGAAGCAAAAAGAAAGAAGCATAATACATTTCATTGTACATATACTCAATAAAATATTAGAAGACACATTCTCTCGGCTTTCTGTTTTTTCCGGTTCTGGTTTTTCCATTCTGTAGATTGTTTGCAATCATGTCAACGTGAAAATGAGGGGCTCTGTTTACAATACGAAACCCCCACAAGTGCACGAAGCTATG